TAGGAGATGTAATATCACATTGGGTGCTCTGTAGCACAAATGTAGTTAGAAATCTTTACTATAGAAAAATCTCTTTTTTAAAACCATATTCTCTTTTTATTAGCCAGTACTGAGTTGAAAGAATTTGGCAGCCTGGTTAGGTAACTTATCTGCCCCCTTACCTAAGTCTTTTTAGTAACAAGAGGACCATTAATTTCTAGATTAATATAGGTTTATTGTAATAAAATTTCTACTATAATATTATATTAATAAAAAAAAAAAATAATAAAAAATTTTGCATGACTTTAGTTTGATTTTAAGGATTTTTCTATTATTAAAACCAGAAAAGCCTAATGAACAACTTTTATTTAGAGGTTAAACCTATTGAGAAAATCTCTACTCATGTATTATTAAATTACCCGGGTTATCTGGGTAAATTATTATATATCATAGCACAATTTCTACTCAGGTCCAACCCCTACTTTTATTAAGATCAAAATAAGAATTTACTTAATAAAAATACCTCTTCCAGGGCACTTTTTGATATCTGGGGGGTGGCACTAACAAAAATGGGGGTGGCAATAACAATACTCTAAATAAATTTTGCAAATTTTGCGATTTGGCCTAAATTACATTTGTCGGCCGGAATTACGGCTCAAATAGCCAAAATTTTAAAAATTAATGTTGGCCGGAATTACAATAATTGCAGACCCTATTCCAGTCCAAAATTTAAAAATGATCAACGTGATCTTCTTCCTGTGTTACCCTTACGGTTATCTAATCACAACGACAATAAAAAGTTTTCGTTATCTACATACGTATGCAAAATGCGCGAAGAAACGAAGGTTTGTTTTTATAAATATGTTTCAGGTACAATGCCTTTAATATATCCTGTTCGTTTTTATGTATTTTTTCATTAATATAGGAAAAAATAACAAAAGCGATCGAAATCGCCAAAACAATCGTACATTGGGGTTTTATTCCGTTCATTTTGTATCTTGGTAAACGTTTATGCTGCACATTTTAATATTTCCCTTTAAAGGACGATTTTTCATTTGTTTTTAATATAATAGGATTTACTAGAAGTAATCCAAAACCTTCTCTTATCAGGTAAGACCACTGAATGAATTACTGTATATAATTTTTTAATAAAA